CTTTTAAAGGTCGAGGTGAGAGGATTGCCTGAGTTCGAGACCAGCCTGCACAACATGGTGAGACCTTGTTTCTACAATAAATTAAAAAATTGGCTGGGTGTGGTGGCCTTCATCTGTAATCCCAGCTACTTGGAAGTCTGAGGCAGAAGGATCACCTGAGTCCAGCAGGTGGAGGCTTCTGTGGTGGCCACACACTGCACTCCAGCCTGAATGACAGAGTGAGACTTCGGCTAAAAAAACAAAAACAACAACAACCAAAAAACTAAATTGACGCAATGAATAATTGTATATTAACTCATAAATAGTATCTCTAAAATGTTCTTTTGCTTGTTTTTGTTTGTTTGTTTTTTGGAGTCGGAGTCTCACTCTGTTGCCCAGGCTGGAGTGCAGTAGCATGCTCCCCACCACCGCATCTTCGACCTGCCGGATTCAGTAATCCTTCCACCTCAGCCTTCCAAGTAGCTGAAACTACAGGCATGCGCCACCACTCTCGGTTAATTTTTTTTTTTAATTATTTCTTGTAAAGATGAGGTGTCACCAAGTTGTCCAGGCTGGTCTCAAACCCGTAGGCTCAGGCAATCCTCTCACCTCCGCCTCCCAAAGTGCTGGGATTATAGGTGTGAGCCACTGCACCCGGCCTTGTTTACTTGTTTTTAGTCAAGGTCTCACTGTGGCCCAGGCTGGAGAGCGGTGGCACGATCACTCCCCATAGAAGCCTCCAGGGCTCAGGAGAATCGTTCTACTGCAGTCTCCCAAGTAGTTGGGACTACAGGTGGTGCACATCACCATGCCCGGTTAATTTTTTTGTAGAGATTTTTTTTGTACAGGTGAAGTTTCACTATGTTGCCCAAGCTGGTCTCGAACTCCTGGGCTTAAACAATCCTCCAGTCTTGCCTTCTGAAGTGCTGGAGTTATAGGCATGAGTCACCGCACCCAGCCTTTTCAATGTTTAGTTATTAGAAAGTATCACAATATTTTATAACTCATCAGCTTTTTTATTCAAGCGCATCATAAAAACAAACAGTGGGAGTAGAAATATTGTTGGAATTTGCTATGTTAACACAGAGGACTTATGCCTGCTGTTCCAGGTATGTTACATGCCTCACTCAGAGATCTGCAAACTCTTCCTGTAATGCAGGCACATCCAACCCACAGCCTGTGGGCTGCTTGTGGCCCAGACAGCTAGTAATGCGGTCCCACAAAATCTTTTAACACCTTTTTTATTAAGCGTTTATTTTCTTTGCTATCTCATGCATAGCCCCATTTTTGAAGTTCACAATCACACCTTTTTCATGACATAGTATTTGGCAGAACTGACATTTGTGAGCAGTTGTTTTCAATTCTGAAGCTCAAGAAGAGCAAAATCCGAGCAAACATTCCTGACAAGCACCTTGAGAACTCACTAAGAATTGCAACCGCTTCCATCAAACCAGACCTTGACAGATTAGTTTTATAAAAACAAGGTCAAACCCCACTAGTTTTATATTGTCCTAATTTTCTAAACTTTATAATAAAAACATTTAAAAAGAGAAGTTTTGTTATGTATATACACTGACTATAATTTATGTGAGGCCCAAGACAATTCTTCTTTTCTCAGTATGGCCCAGAGAAGCCAAAAGTTTGGACAACCCTGCTGTAAAGTGTCGGATAGTAAATATGTTCCCCTGTTTAGTGGACCACGCAATCTCTGTCCCATAACTACTTAACTCTGCTCTTATAGAGCAAAAATAACCTTAAATGAAGAAGCTTGACTATGCCCTAATAAAACTTAGTTTGAAGTCACTGAAATGTGAATCTCATATATTTTCACATATTTTTCTTAATATATATATATTTCTTGAGTCAGGGTCTCACTCTGCTGCCCAGGCTGGAGTGCAGTGGCATGATCATGGCTCACTGCAGCCTCAACCTCTTGGGCTCAGGAGATTCTTTTGCCTCAGATACTATAGGTATGTACCAACATGCCTGGCTAATTTTTTGATTTTTTGTAGAGTCGAGGTCTCGCCATATTGCCCAGGTTGGCCTTTAACTCCTGTGACCAAGCAATTCTCCCACATGGATCTCCCAAAGTTCTGGGATTACAGGCATGAGCCACCATACCTGGTTATATGTATTTTTTGAGTGGGAGTCTCACTGTCCCCCAGGCTAGAGTGCAGTGGCCCACTCACAGCTACTGCAACTTTGACCTCCTAGGCTCAAGTGATGCATCTGCCTCAGCCTTCCAAGTAGCTGGAACTACAGGCGCACGCCACCACATCTGGCTAATTGTTTTGGTTTATTGTAGAGATGAGGTCTTCCCAAATTGCGCAGGTTGGTCTCGAACCTCTGGGCTTGGGCAATCCTCTCGTCTCTGCCTCCCAAGTGCTGGGATTACAGACATGAACCACCGTGCCCAGCTAAAAATATTTTTGTTTTTATTTTATTTTTGTTCAGAGTCTCACTCTTTGTCGCCCAGGCTGGAGTGCAGTGGCAGGCTCACAGCCATCGCAGCCTTGACCTGCTGGGCTTAGGCAATCATTCTGCACAGCCTTCCAAGTAGCTGGAACTACAGACGCCCGCCACCACTCCCGGCTAGTTTGTGTGATTTATTGTAGAGATGAAGGCTCACCAAGTAGCCCGGGCTGGTTTTGAACCCACAGGCTCAAGCAATTCTCTCACCTCGGCCTCCCAAAGTGCTGGGATTACAGGCTGAGCCACCGTATGGAGCCAAAATAGTTTTTAAAAATCATTTAAAAAGATAATAATCATTCTTAGCTCAAGGGCCATTAAAAAAAAAAAGGTCAGTTGAATTTTGCCCTAGTTTGCTAAACTCTGCATTATTTCATTGGGTTAATGAAGGTTTTCTAAAAGATCAGTGATTACATTGTCAAGTGAATGGGAACAAGTATTCTCACTAGCCTTGCTTCCCACCCAACTGCCATCATTTTCTGCCTCCCTGCGGGTGCTGAAACTGATGGGGTTTTTGTCAATTGTTCCAAAGGTTAAAAGTAGGCTCTATATGCCTAGACTCTAGACACGCCAACTTAAGAAATGTGAACAATTACAAGGATATGCAACAGTCTTAAGGGTCTCTCAGCCTTGGAGCGACATGACCAAATTTGGGTGCTTTTGTAGATCCAGCTGCCAGCAGAGTGAAAAAGGGACCGAGCGACAAGTTGTTGCAGCTAACCCTGGGGAAAGTGACGGCAAACTGGACTGGACTGGTAGAAATACGGTACTAGCGGGGCTTGGTGGCTCAGCCTGTAATCCTGCGCCTTTGGGAGGCTGAGGCGAGTGAATTGCCTGAGCCCGCGGGTTTGAGACCCACCTGGGCAACTTGGTGAGACCTCAT